AAAGAAATAAAAGGTATTCAGATTGGCAAAGAAGAAGTCAAACTCTCTCTTTTCACAGATGACATGATACTTTATGTGGAAAACCCAAAAGACTCCACCCCAAAATTACTAGAACTCATAGAGCAATTCAGTAATGTGGCAGGATACAAAATCAATGCACAGAAATCAGTTGCTTTCTTATACACTAACAATGCAACTGTAGAAAGAGCAATTAGAGAAATGATTCCATTTACAATAGCACCAAAAACCATAAGATACCTCAGAATAAATCTAACCAAAGAGATAAAGGATCTAAACTCTAGGAACTACAGAACACTCATGAAAGAAATTGAAGAAGACACAAAAAGATGGAAAAACATTCCATGCTCATGGATTGGAAGAATAAACATTGTTAAAATGTCTATGCTACCCAGAGCAATCTATACCTTCAATGCCATCCCGATCAAAATTCCAATGACATTTTTCAAAGTCAAGGAACAAACAATCCTAAAATTTGTATGGAATCAGAAAAGACCCCAAATCACCAAGGAGATGTTGAAAAAGAAAAACAAAGCTGGGGGCATCACGCTGCCCGATTTCAAGCTATATTACAAAGCAGTGATCACCAAGATAGCATGGTACTGGCACAAAAACAGACATATAGACCAATAGAACAGAATAGAGAGCCCAGATATGGACCCTCAACTCTGTGGTCAAATAATCTTTGACAAAGCAGGAAAAAATATGGAATGGAAAAAAGACAGTCTCTTCAATAAACGGTGCTGGGAAAATTGGACAGCCACATGCAGAAGAATGAAACTCGACCATTCTCTAACACCATACACAAAGATAAACTCAAAATGGATGAAAGACCTCAACGTGAGACAGGAATCCATCAAAATCCTAGAGGAGAACACAGGCAGCAACCTCTGTGACATCGGCCACAGCAACTTCTTTCAAGATACATCTCCAAAGGCTAGTGAAACAAAAGCAAGAATGAGCTTTTGGGACTTCATCAAGATAAAAAGCTTCTGCACAGCAAAGGAAACAGTCAACAAAACAAAGAGGCAACCCACAGAATGGGAGAAGATATTTGCAAATGATACTACAGATAAAGGGCTGGTATCCAAGATCTATAAAGAACTTCTCAAACTCAACACCCAAAAAACAAATAACCAAGTCAAAAAATGGGCAGAAGATATGAACAGACATTTCTCCGAAGAAGACATACAAATAGCTAACAGACACATGAAAAAATGTTCATCATTAACCATCAGGGAAATTCAAATCAAAACCACATTGAGATACCACCTTACACCAGTTAGAATGGCAAAAATTGACAAGGCAAGAAACAACAAACGTTGGAGAGGTTGTGGAGAAAGGGGAACCCTCCTACACTGTTGGTGGGAATGCAAGTTGGTACAGCCACTTTGGAAAACAGTGTGGAGGTTCCTCAAAAAGTTAAAGATAGAGCTACCCTATGACCCAGCAATTGCACTCCTGGGTATTTACCCCAAAGACACAGATGTAGTGAAAAGAAGGGGCACATGCACCCCAATGTTCATAGCAGCAATGTCCACAATAGCCAAACTGTGGAAGGAGCCGAGATGCCCTTCAACAGATGAATGGATAAAGAAGATGTGGTTCATTTATACAATGGAATATTACTCAGCCATCAGAAAGGATGAATACCCAACTTTTACATCAACATGGCTAGGACTGGATGAGATTATGCTAAGTGAAATAAGTCAAGCAGAGAAAGTCAATTATCATATGGTTTCACTTACTTGTGGAACATAACGAATAGCATGGAGGACATTAGGAGAAGGAAGGGAAAAATGAAGGGGGGAAATCGGAGGGAGAGATGAACCATGAGATACTGTAGACTCTGAGAAACAATCTAAGGGTTTTAGAGGGGAGGGGGTTGGGGGGATGGGTTAGCCCAGTGCCCGGTGATGGGTATTAAGGAGGGCACATACTACATGGAGCACTGGGTGTTATACGAAAACAATGAATCGTGGATCAGCACATCAAAAACTAATGATGTATGGTGACTAACAAAATAAAAAATTTTTTTTAAAAAGAAAGAAATGAAGGACATATAAAGATGTTCCCAGACAAACAAAACTGAGGGAGGTCATCACCCCTAGGCCTGCCTTACAAGAATGCAAAAAGCTCTTCCTCAAGCTGAGATGAAAGGATGCTAATTAGTAACATGAAAATATATGACTATATACAACACCCTAGTAAAAGTAAGTATGTAGGCAAACTCAGATTCCTCTAATAATATAATATGATGGGGTGGTAAACTCTTAACTCTGTATGTAGATTAAAGGACAAAAGTACTAAAAATACCTAGAGCTACACCAATTTGTTAATGAACGTACAATAAAAAAGGTTAATTGTGGGGCATCCGGGTAGATCAGTCGACTGGGTGTCCAGCTCTTGATTTCAGCTCAGGTCTTGATCTCAAGGTCATGAGATCAAGCCCCACATCAGGCTCCACACTCAGTGGGGAGTCTGCTTGAGACTCTCTCCCTCTGCCCCTCCCCCAGCTTGCACTTGCTCGTACACTCTCTCTCTCTCAAATAAATAATCTTAAGAAAAAAATAAATAAATAAGCTCGCCAGTAACAAGAAGCTTGAAAATCTAGAAAGCACATACTAAGATATTTGAAATAAAAATACAACTCTCAGTCTTGGGTTCTCATTATATCCATCCTGCTAGTGTCAGAACTGAACATGTGCATTCAAGTCCCACTTCAGGAGAAGCAGTGTGTGTAACTTTCCTAGTAATCCACCTTTAAAAAAAAAAAACAAGTAAATTCCAAAGCCAGAATGAACAATGACTTTATCAAGGCTCGTCTGGGTGGGAGCCTAGCTTTGTAACATAGTCAGTGACATTCCAGAAATGCCAGGTTTTCCTCCAGAAGTTTGCCTGGTGGCTCTGCCCTCTGATGCCTGTGCCTTTTCATGCGCCTGTCCACCCGCCACCCTCCCCACCACCTATGTGTGCATGGAACTGCAGATCAGTGAACGGTTAGACATCTAATGTTTGAGTTTGAGAAACTGGCAAGTTTACAAAGCAAAAAGTGCAGTAACAATATGCTACCTTCAGGGGAAAATTCTATAATTACTAGAAAAGAAAGGCAAAGAGGGAGAATAGTGTGTCATTTTTAGGCATAATAAATTAGGAGGTGCTTATTTTGTTTAGAGCTTCAAGGTCTCGCCAACATGGACATGTTTTTAATACTGTCGATTAGATTAGCTCAGGTCATTCTGTTTTTATATATTGACCTCTTTCTTGTAACAGAACTCTGGTCTTGCCTTTTCCTTCCTCTGTTACAGGGGATTAATGAAGTCTCTTCTTACTTTGGTTTCCATGCACCTATTGGATGTTAACTAATTAATAAAATACTGAGGTCGTCTTTCTACAAATAGTAAAGCTTCCATACACTGAGAATTTCTTTTTGCAGATTTGCCTTGCTTTAAAATATCATTGGCACATTCCTAACAAACTAAACGAGAACAAAGTGATGTCGTGTTATGATGTGGGTTCTTTTAAACAGATTGTAGTCCTGTGTAAAGAACTGAACAGATCAAGTGTTGGATTTTGTCCCCGAGAGGGTGAGAGTCAGCAGTGCCTTTGTCTGAGCGGGCACTGGGGCTGTGAGGGAGGGCACAGCAGTCCTGGGGCACTCTCGCAACACGTCTCGGTGAGCTCTGACCACAGCTGCCGGGGGAGGTCAGGAAAGCTGCTGCGCTCATACCTGTCCCAGTGTGTACAGAAAGCCGGAGTGTTGCCCACAATGCAGTGCTTGGTCCTTGAATGCCTTTGATCCTTATCTAGAAATTCTGCTAGCATATGTCATATAGTTGAGGTATGGTCTTTTATTGCTGCAATTAAGACTTTTCAAATGCATTATACTATCTCCACCCAAGCTAAAAGTCCTGAGCATTGTTTAAGAAGTAGGGTTAGTGATTTGTCAGATGCCGTGGTTGACTTGGGGCTGCCTGCCCCCACACCCCCCTGCATGAGATTTCCCTTACTTGTTCCACTGACATCTCACCAAGCGGCATAATGGTCTTAAAGTTTGTTCAGTCCTGACTTCCTCCATCACGGAGCGATGGCAAACACTCTGTTGCTAACTTGGAGCGGCTCTCCAAGCAGCGAGACGGGGAGGACAGTAAACCAGTAAAAGCTTATCGACGGACCCGCTGATACGCCGTAAATTCCAGGCTTTCATTTTGCTTTTGAGGCTGGTCGTAAGTCAACACATTAGTAGGCAATTTGCTGACATCCAGACGGATCACTTAGAGAGGCCTCCCGGGCACACAAAGTTCACCTGGGTACTTTTGTTAGTATACTTTTTTTTAATGTTTAGCCAGTATGTTACTTGTAAATGACCAGTAATTGCTTTACATATCAATAAGCTAAACTCTTATCAAGTATCTGAAATATGAGACTTAAAAGGAAAAACATATGAAGACATTCATTCTTTTTAAAACTGAATATTTTACACTTTGTTTCTGTAGAATTAATAATCATTGGTTTAAAAACTAGAACTCAACTGTCTTTTTTTTTTCTTTTTTTTGCCAGTTTTTGCCCTTTCAATTACTAAGAACATCTGACCCAAATAACAGTAAGGAAATAAAGAAAGCAAGAAGGGGCTGAGATTTAAGAACTTGAGATTTAAGAAATAGTTAATAATAGCTACACTTAGGACATGGCTTTGAATTGGCCGCAACAGGTGGTCGATAAGTATATGTTGATTTAGCTTTATAAATATCACCCTTGCTAACTTTTGAATATGTGAAGCTACAAGAATAAGGTCACACCAGTTCACTTTTAGAAATCTGCTGTAAATATATACTGAAGGATTTTCAGTATATGTATTAATAAGCTAATGTCAATGTTATGATTAAAAGCTAAACGCCAGTGCTTTGTTGAATCTTGATAGTTGGAAATAACTTCAAAATCTTTGCTCATAGGCACTGTTCTTTTTTTTTAATCCCAAAAAGGATACTGTACTGCACTCCTTTAGAATATGTACGTTGGGGCATGTATGTGTCCTCATTTCTAATCGACTGCAAACCTAAAATCAAGATTTTTAAATGAATGCTAAGGGCCTTAGCATGAATCAGGGGCTTCTCTGAACCTAAAGAACTCATTCGAGGAGATAAGAAATACACACAGGAAAAAGATAACAGCATCCAGCCAACGCTAAGTGCCCAGGGCAGTGAGAGCTGAAGAGCGCGCTCACGAGAGGAGCCCACGCACACTGGGCCTACGTGCAGGCTGCAGGAGCCACTGGTGCGGGGAAGTCATGGAAACCGGAAAACAGGACAGTTACTCAGGGGACTCTGTAAATGACTGGCCGGCTGGGAAACTCCTACAGGAAAGTCATGAGAAGAAAGGTTGGCACAAGGCCCCAAGGGATCTCAGGCTCCAGACAGGCCCAGGATGAGGACTTCGGGACCCACGAAGAGGTGGTGAGGCCAGCGCTCCAAGAAGGCTACGCCGGCATCAGAGGACAGGCCCCCTCCCCGCTGCTGCCTGTCGCAGCTGTCAGAGCCCCCTCCCCACCCCACCCTGCTCCCGTGGGGTCTCTGAGCCCTCCGCTCAGCCCTCCTTGTTCCCACCCAGCCTTCCTGCAAGCTGGGGGCCCCCTTGTTAAAGGTCACCTGGGTCCCCAGCTCACTCAGCCATTCCCACACTGTTGTACCAATCCCGTTAATCATTCACCGTGCAAACACTGAATGGTAAAGTTATTTAGTTTAGATTGAATAAACTACATTTTAATAGTCCTTAACCACCAATACATATAAAAGGAATTGTTACTTTTCTCATTTATGAAATGCTTTTAATTGCAACTAAGGAAGAAAGTATGATTTGTGGACAAGTGTGAAAATGATATTATGTTTGTTAGGCAGGCTGAGTAGATACGAAAATACAAATTAAACTGTTCCAAGCCCCTTCCATGACTGACGCCTGTAGTTCTGCGCTTTGCAAAACTTGTCCACCCCCGTCCCTTCCCCCCCAAATCCCTAGGGCCACCTCCTGGGGAGGGGGTCCCGTCTACGGCACCCGCCTTCCTGCGGGACACACAACAAACAACATGTGTCATTAAGAATGTAAATTTCAAAAAGTGGGGAGAGTCAAAAGTACAAAGAGATGCAGGGGACAGGGAGCCAAGCAGGGAGCAAGGGGTTTTAGGGCAGGGGGGGACTGCTGAGATGACAGGGGCTGGGGTGGGGGGGTGCAGACCCCAAACTGGAGGGACTGCACAGACAGGGTGAGTGGCCCCTGCGCCTGTACCGGGGGAGGTTCCCATGTAGGGAATGCAGGAGCAGCAGTGGCCAGCAGCTGCCTGCACTCTTGTAGAGAGGTGAGAGCAGTAGGAGCTCCACCTGGGCACTCAGCAAATGGTTGGCCTGAGAAAAATCCGGGACACGGGAACACTGCCCAGTGAACACTGGGACCCTTGTTCAAAACCAAAACTTTCTTCTCTGGCCATTCTCAGTCTGCCTGCCCCCCACCCCCGTCTCAGTCTGCCCTGGTGGTTTTTATCTGCTATTTAATGTTGTTCCAAGCAAAGAAAAAATTCTGAATTATCAGCATAAATTTTATGCTGTACAGTGCTGATTTTAAGCGCAAATATAAGAGCGTTTAGTTCATATGTGGAATCTCCAAAATTACAGTTTGCGTCTCCTACCTCATACATGTGTATTTAACTCATATGCAGAGAGATAAAATGCTAAACAAAACTGAGTCTGAGCCCTCAGCTCCCAGCAGGGAAGGGACCCTGGGTCTCCTCATGCCTCCCTTTCCTTCTGCACCATCACCTCCCGTGGGAGTGGCACGCTGAGGAAAGGACATGAAGGGCTCCATCCGGGAACCAGAATTTAGGAGGGAAAGGGAGCATGGGGACAGCCTGAGGCAGAAAGGCTATGAATTTTTCATATGGGAAGGAGATACACAGACTTAAAAAGCCCAAAGAACCCCAGTATGATAGGAACAGAACGGAAAGGAAAGGAAAGAAAGGAAGGAAGAAAAAGAAAGAAGGAAGGAAAGGAAGGAAGGAAAGGAAGGAAGGAAGGAAGGAAGGAAGGAAGGAAGGAAGGAAGGAAGGAAGGAAAGAAAAAGAAAGAAAGAAAGAAAGAAAGAAAGGGAAAGAGAAAGAAAGAAAGAAACAAAGAAACAAAGAAAGAAACAAAGAAAGAAAGAAAGAAAGAAAAGAGAGAGAGAGAAAGAAGAAAGAAAAAGAAAGGCATGTCTAGTGAAGCTGCAGATTTGCTGGCAGTAACAGCAGAAGCCAGAGGACTGAGCATGACATCTCAGCCAGCCTGGAATTCTACATGTACCAAATGAAAATTCCAGTCAGGAACAGAGGCAAGGGGTGCGTGGCTGGCTCAGTCAGAGGAGCGTGCCACTCCTGATCTCAGGGTCGTGAGTTCAAGGCCCACGCTGGGCATTGAGACTACTTAAAAAAAAAAAAAAAAAAAAAAGAGGCAAAAGAAAGACAATTTCGGAGAAAAATGGAAAGAGTGTCACTAAAATGTCTCCACTAAAGGAAATTCTGAAAGATGCCTTTCATGAAGAAAGAAAATGATCCCAGATTCCAAGAAGCAAGAAGGGGTGAAGTGCACAGAAAGTGGTAAAAACGCGAATAAATCAAATTGGCACTGACTGTAAAGCAAGACTACTGATGTCTTCCAGGGTTAAAGGAGAGGGAAAAGAGCCTGACCGCACCAGACTGACATACCTCCAGGAGACTATCCCGGTCAGGCACTCCAGGATCCTTGCTTATGTGAGAAGAGGAAATTCTGATGGACTTTCGACGTTAATAATTTCAATATGCATTCCCAAGGTAACGGCTAAAAGAACTGAAATGGAGTTTTAACCTTCAAATTAGTAGAGAGAAAACTAGAGATAGAAATTTCCACTGAAGAAAAGAGCAGAGATCAAAACAAACCGATGGCAGGACAACTAGAAAACTCAGAACGGGAACACACCGAGCAATCTCCAGACTGAACGTGCCAGTGAGAACAAGCCCAGCTGCGGGTCACTCAGAGGAGACTCTTACGCATGAAAAGAAGAATGACGTGCGTATGATATACGCATAGATACGCACACAGAAAACTCGACACAGAAAAAGACGGGGTACTGACATCAGAGCAAACATACGTGAAGCCAAGGCACCAGGGGGCAGGACACACAGAACACCCACCAGCAACCGTAGTACACATGCTCTTCCAAAATACAAACAGACCATCTATAAACACAGCCCGTAAATATTCTCATCACACCGTAAAGAGTTAAAATGTGTAGAGCATGGTCTCTGACCAGTGTACTTACGCTAGAAATTTAAAATAATTTTTAAATAACTAGAAATATCTCACACATTTGGAAATTCAGAAACAGTTCTAAATAACCTGTTGGTAAAGAAAACATGATAATGGAAACTAGAAAATATTTTGAATTGAATTAAGAGCAAAATACATATCAAAACTTGTGGAATATGACTAAAGCAGTATTTGTTTCTTCTATACTAGGTATCTCTTGCAGAATCAAACATTTGAGTCTAGAATTAGTTTATAATTCTCATGTATTATAACATATCCCGAGCATGTATTTCTGTTTCGCTGTATGACACCAATTAGCATTCAGATTGGCACACTGAGCATTAAGACCCATCCTCCCCCGATTTACTGGCTGCATCTGCAAAAGCTGGCAAGCCCAGGTTTTCCGCAAGCACCAAAGCGCCTGCCATGGTCACGCACATCCTAAGCCCTCGAGAAATGCTAAGATGGAGTGGGAACCCTTGACAAACACCTTAGGGTGTAATAATAGCATGAGGCCCAGCACTCCCAGCCGCCAAGTCCGTAGTAATAAAGGCAACGAGGCGTGTGCCCACAGCCCTGGTGAAGGCAGGAGGAGACGCGCCTGGGTGAGGTGACACTTAGGGCCTCACCAGGGCCCCTTGGGAGTCACCAAACACAGCTGTTCAGAGCATATCAGCTATGTTTCCATCTAAGGTGCTTTATCTCAAGCTGCAAGAACTCATCCACATGTCAGAACAGTCGGGATTCCTGCAGTCATCCGGGCATACATAGATCTATTATCACACACAACGTATCCGTTAATATCACATAAGCGTGTGTGCGCACGCGCAAGCCTCCACAGTTATTCTCTTGCTCTCTAAGGGACCTCTGAACCTGGAGGTTGGGAGGTCACACCCCCAGGAAGGGTGATGAAAGCCATGGTAAGTAACTTTGACTCTTAAAATCAAGCAGGTGAATTCTGCAGTAGCAGTTCTCAAACTTGAGCAAGCATCAGAGTCCCCAGGTTCTGACCCAGGAGGTCTGAGGCATGGCTGGGAATCAGCATTTCTAACAAGCTCGCAGGGGATGCCAAGGCCGCTGGTCCCAGCGCCACCGTTGAGAATGAGCCTCCAAGTCAGTCATTCACACTCTTGCATGTTCTCCAAACAGCACTTCTGTGTCCAGAAAGCATTTCAGAATACGCCTCATAACCCGAAATCCTTTGTAAGGTCTGGAACAGAATATGACCCCTTTTTTCTGAGGCATAATTTTGAAGGAAGAAAAGATCTTATATTCCATTCCATGTATATATGGGAAATCGCTCTCATGTCAAGAAAACTCACAGAGCACATGGATCATGAAACATGAATCAGAAGGCCATCATACAGATTTCCAAGGAATTCTCCCTTTTACACAGTAGGGAACTCTTCTCTCAATCATTTGTTTAGAGATTATCAAATAGTCAAAGAGCCAAAGAACAAAGAAAATTAAAATCAAAGCCCTAGGATACACTGTCAGTTGAAGAACCTAAATTAAGCTCCAGCTGCCTGGCAATTACAATTAGGGTCAGCGTGAAATAGAATTTGATTCATAACAGAAGAGCATCTTCCTCCAAGCCTCTAAATGCAAATGTGCCTTGACTTAGGATGGCACGAGGTCCTGATAAACCCATCATAAATCAAAAATATCATTAAGTCAAAGATGCATTTCACACACCTAACCTACCGAACGTCACAGCGTAGCCCAGCCCACTTTAAGTGTGCTCAGAGCGCTCACATTAGCCCACAGTTGGGCAAAGTCATGTAACACGAAGCCTGTTTGACAGTAAAGTGTCGAATATCTCCTGGAACACACGGCACGCTGTCCTGAAAGTGACGGACGGGACGGCTGTGTGGGTGCAGATGGCTGTCGGTGTATCGGCCGTGGCCCCTCGTGATCGCGTGGCAGCTGGGAGCTGCGGCCCCCGCCCGGCATCACGGGGGGAGGATCGGACCGCGTATCGCTGGCCCGGGAAGAGATCCACGTTCAGAACTCGGAGCACGGTTTCTGCTGAGTGTGGATCGCTTTCGCCCCATCGTGAGGTCGAAAAATCCTGAGTCAAACTACTGTAAGTTGGGGGGCGTTTGTATGGCCAAAACACAATTGCAAACAAACCCCCAAAACACAGGTACCTGGAAGATTCCCACACACACCATTAAAACCCCAACCACCAGCCGCGTGGGCGCCTGTCATGTCCCAGCATCGCCTTTCCCTGAAACCCAGCAGTCTCCTGTACCAGCCGGGGACAAAGGCCAGCAAGGGCACACTCACCACAGCTGCCCTCCCTTCCTGTGTGTGTCCACGTCTTCTTAGGGGAGTAAGAAGCGGAAGGGTACACTTCATCCCTGAAGGCACCTTCTGGGGTCTGGCCTTGGAGCAGGAGCTCTGGAGGGGACTTACATACTCTGTTCTGCCAGCTGGGTCCACATAAAAACAAACAAAAGACACACATGAGAGCTGGCCAGCAGACTAGAATACTTGAGAGCTGTAAAGTCCTACATCATCATCACTCATCTAATTGTCTCTGAGTTCTGATGGGTTTCGTTCACATCACCAAGCCCAACGACATGAGACAGGTGTGATCACTGAATCAGGACACTTCTAACTGCTGGAGCAAACGACCCCCAAATTCCAATGACTCAAAGTAGGAGCTTTGGTCCCACCCACGAGGGCAGCATGCCACCCTGTAGGATGCAGGCACTGTCCCCTGCAGCCTTTCTCTGTGCCGTCCCTGGGGGGGCTGGGGGGGTAGAGACCTGTGTGCCCAGGCCAGAGACCCCACTTCCATTTGAACAGCTATGTCACGTGGCCCCACCTAGCATGGGAGGAGTGGGACTGTGGTGTTTCTGGACGTGATGCCAACTTCTATAGAGAGCTCTGTGCTGGGGAAGGACCAGCAAGAGAGTAAGAAGGTGACAGCCACCACAGCCCTTGGAACAGATGACTCCGTAGCTATTTACATCAGTCTTCAGATGTTCAACAAAGGAGCCCCTGGTGCGACCCTCGCTGAGTGGCATCTCCGTGCCTCAGGTGCCGTGGTCGCTCTCCGATGATCAGATCTGTGCAGTAATGTCCGCGTGAGCCACCAGCCACAAGCCGCAGGTGCCTGTCGAGTCCTTGAAGTGAGGCCAGTCCAAATCGAAACAGGCTAGAGACACACAGGATCTCAAAGACTTGACAGGAAAAAAAGAATAAAATATCTCATTTATAGTTTATTCAGTTGACATATTTTGAAATGATATTTTGGATACGTTGGGTTAAGTAAAATATTAAAATTAACTTCACCTTTAAAAAAATTTTTTTAAATGTGCCTTCTACAAGTTTTAGGATTACAGATGTGGCTCATATTACATTTCTTTTGGACAGGGATGATCTAGAGTAACTAGCTCTTACATTTAGAAAGTTCTAAAAACAATGATACTTAAAGGAGTTTTTCTAAGTGTATCACATTATTTTGAGAAGATAAATAATACAGTCCATCCCCAAAACTTTTTTTTAATTTGAATATAGTTGACACACAAGGTTACGTTAGTTTCAGGTGTGCAACCGAGTGACTCACAGGTCTATGCAGCACGCTGTGCTCACCACAAGCGCGCTCCCATCCGTCACCACACGACACTGTTACCCCGCCAGTGACCAGATTCCCTCTGCTGTGCCTTTCGCCCCCGGGACTCGTTCGTCCGTAACTGGAAGCCTGTCTCTCCCACAGCCCTTCACCCACTTTGCCCATCTCCCCACCCTCCTTCCCTCGGGCAGCCATCTGTTCTCTGTATTTATGGGTCTGTTTCTGCTTTTCGTTTATTAATTTTTTTAGATTACAGACATGAATAAAATCATATGGTAACTGTCTTTCTCAGTCTGACTTATCTCACTTAGCATAATAGCCTCTAGGTCCATCCATGTTGTCTCAAATGGCACAATCTCATCCTTGTTATGGCTGTGTAATATTCCTCTGTGTGTGTGTGTGTGTGTGTGTGTGTACCACATCTTCTTTATCCATTTATCTATGGATGGACACTTGAGCCGCTGCCATATCTTGGCTATTATAAACAATGCTGTAATAAACATAAACAATGCATGTATCTTTTCAAATTAGTGTTTTCTGGGCAAATACCCAGTACTCAAACTATTAGATCATATGGCAGTTCCAATTTTTTGGGAAATCTCTATACTGTTTTCCACAACGGCTGTCCCAATCTATATTCCCACCAACAGTGCTGAGGGTTCTTGCCAAAAACTCTTTAATAAAAACCATTCACTCTGCCCCCACCCAATGCCCTAGCTGTTTCCAGTCTTTTCTCAAACGAATTCCTCAACTATGATTGCCTTTTCTCTGATAATCCAGATCTTTACAACCGAACTGAAAACCATGAAACTGTTCTTCCTTCCAAGCCCATCCAAGGCGACTGACGTCTGGACTCTTGAAGCCCTTTGTAATCACAAAGTCACTTTTCTATCTAGGCATTGCTCCTAACGTGGTTGTTCCTGTTCATGCAGGACTCATGGCAAGACGGGCAAACCACCTAAAACCTGTAGAACTGTAACCAAGACACTAACAAAACAGTAACTGTCTTAATAAAAGCCCTACTAAAGATTTAGATGTGTTAAATTTCTAATAAACCAATAATTGTAGGCCTTCTTCCTTTTTGAAAAGAAGCAATAGCATCTTTGGAGAAACCAGGGAGAATCACACGGTAAATATTTCCAAATCAGAGCACAGACCAAACAGAGTCTGGGGGACGAAAAGAGAGTGAAGGATACCATATTAAGCCACTCTGCAGTTAGCAACTGTGACTTCTACATGACGTAGGCATGTTCCATTTTGCTAATCAGATATGAGCGAATTCTCACTGTGAATCCCTGCGCTGTAGCCGAGAGTCTGCAGTAACTCCGCCTCACCCTGGCAGTTCCAGCTTGTGTCATCAGGAGGGAAAGCACACCATCCCACAACCCGCTAAATCGTTTGCCTAAGATCACTGTGCTTCTCTAAATCCTTTTATATAAAAAAAAGTAGTACTTTATTAAAAAAAGTAGTACTTTATAAAAAGAACGGGGGGGGGGCATTAGAGAACTCTATTTAAGGACAGTACTTTGGAGCAAACTTCTTAAGTTTGAGGTAAAATGTAATATGCTGCCTCCATTATGGTGGACTGGCAAGGGAAACCATTTTAAAATAAGTCCTAAAGATCTGTTCTGTAGCAAGGGGCCATACAAGTGTCCATAAATTGATTACCTCCCATAAAGGGATTTTTAAGGTCCTTAGGCAATGGGAGTTTTCAAGTTACGATTTTAGGGCTTGCTGAGAAAAGCAGAATGAATAACTAGTTTAAAAGATGGGGATAATCTTAGATTTCCTTTTTTGTTTGTTTATGGTCACGCTAAGATGATCGTTCATAATCTGCAACCACACTGGGAAGCCAGCTGGCAAGCAAGGGGACGGGAAGAGTGCTGGTTCCCTGGCTGGGCAAGAGCTCGGGGCACTGTGGCTGCACGCAGAGAGCACCCTGCTTACAGATCAGAATCCACGCTGCCACAGCGGGGTGATCATCCCTTTCTCCTCTCCACTTCCCCTTCCCTTTTATTAGCTCTCAACTCTTAATTACAATGTATTTCTTGTTAACCACCAAGACTTAAACCAGGTGGACCTTTTGAATCTCTTTGCATCAACTATCTGGACATGGCGCTATTAGGTAAATATGCATATGTCTGTTTCCCCAAAAAGTCTTCTTCAAAGGTAGAGACCTGAGGAAAGTTAGTAAAAAAGGTGATGAGGACCCACGAAGGCACTTCCCTTGCACCTACAGGTAGAATCCGCCCCCCACCGGGGCATGTTAATGCACTGCCTCCCATGTCCTTTCCAGTTCACAGAGATCAATCGCCGCATACTGTGCTCCTTCAGCACAGACATAGAGGACCTCTTCTGGGAAATCGACCACTGCCTGGCCATAAACCGAAGTGTTCTTCAGCAGCTGGAGGACAGGTGTGGCCATGAGCTCACAGAAGAAGACTGGGAGAAGATCCAGATCCAGGTAGGCGTGGGTCACTCACTGGAAGCAGCAGCCCCCAGGCGTCTGGGAGACATTAGAGGGGAGACTTGGGGACCCTGTGGTGCGGAGCTTTCGGCCCTGGCTGTTCTTGTACCCTGAACCTTTGCCATCCAGGCTGGGGTGAGGTCAAGGCCCTTCCATGGGACACTGCTTTGAGGACGCCTTCCTGTGAATAATGAAAACACCAAAGGGAAAAGACACCCCACGTGCTAGCTTCCCGGTTTTCCTTCAAGCCCTAGCCTGCCCTCCTCTGGCATCTGTAGCACCTCAGGAAAAGGGGAGCCTCAGAATTCAACAGAGGAAAAACTTAACTTAAAAAATCATGAAAATACGAAAATTTATACAGAAGTTTAGCAGCGATATAAGGCCAAGGACTTTGAAAAAGACCACTCTCTATTGCTCAACTAAAAGGAAATCTATACCATTAATGTTCAGCATTTTATAAAGTATTTTTGTTTGTTTTAAAACTGCTTGTCACAAGCAGGTTACTCTCCCTTTCCATTTTCCACAGGACTAACAGTATATGTATAATTAGTGTCATTGTAACACAGGATGAAACTTCATCTCTAGAAGGGCCATGTCTCTTGGTATATACAGTTCTCACTTAAATTTAGGAAGCTTTCCATCATGACAGAGCTACTACCTGCACAACAGCTCACGTCCTCCCCTGTGCCGCAGGCTCTGCACCGGGAGACCTCTGAGTGCCCCATCTGCCTCGCCCCACTCCCAGCCAGCAGTGACAGTCACCAGGACCCATCGGAGACGCGCTGCGGCCAGGCTTCCCGAGAGATAGTCCTCCTGTCCTGCTCACATGTGTTCCACCACACGTGTCTCCTTGCTCTGGAGGAGTTCTCACTGGGGGACAGTTCTCCTTTCCATGCTTGTCCCCTCTGCCGCTCTGGCTATCAAAAGAAAATTCTTGAATGTTGAATTCACAGTCAGGAAAAATTCTATCACTCCCGGGTGGTGGTGGGGGCGGGGGGTGGATTTACCTCAATTTTGTACAAATTGTATGAGTTTGGGGTTAAGTGCTACAGTGTTAATCTACTCTCCAATGAAATACACTCTTAGTATAAGTTGTACATAGGAACCCTAAATATATTTTAAAAGCTGACAACCTACCCAGTTTTAGTCTTTAGTTTATAAAAATTTCAAATTGATGAGTTTAATCAGTTGAAATAAGTGAGTAATGGATAAAAACTTGAGTCTCAGAGGTTCTGTAATTTAGTGACTTGCTATGCTTCTAGTTGATCAGTTGGGATTGCTCCGAACAGCAGAATCGCTCCCTTTCTTTCACGGTCGTCTGATTAACTGGCCTATTTCCACGCGGTTCTGACTGACAGCTGGGGAACCTGCCAGGACGGTCGCGGCACACTGTTCCCGTGCTCCCCTGTGCACACACCTACCTAGATACAGCTGGTATCTGACCAACAAGCTGGTCACCTAAAAACAGTTTTCAAATTGTCTTGGGCCCTCTGCCATTCCTAATATTTGTTTTGCAGTAATTGCTTTATTTCTAGGGGATAAATTACTATTATACTTCAGCACTTCAAATATGTAAACCCAAAGTATAAAAATAAAATATTCAGTGGTATTCAACATCAGAATATGGCAAATCACATTTTATTTATTTTTTTTTTTTTAAGATTTTATTTATTTATTTGAGACAGAGAGAATGAGAGACAGAGAGCATGAGAGGGAGGAGGGTCAGAGGGAGAAGCCGACTCCCTGCCGAGCAGGGAGCCCGATGCGGGACTCGATCCCGGGACTCCAGGATCATGACCTGGGCCGAAGGCAGTCGCTTAACCAACTGAGCCACCCAGGCGCCCACAAATCACATTTTAATGATTTAGAGCCATACTATTTTAGCATGTACGTGAAGAAGAAATGCATGAAACCGCTTTGATAGGAAGCATCTGACTCTGGTTTACTCTCCCCGGAAGCTTGGTTGTTTACAGTAACAAAGGACAGTTGTGTAGGTCAGGTGCCTGGCTGCTGGTAAGGCCCCACATGTCAGTGGCTCACAGGGAAGCCTGTCATTTCTGAGCCCCACAGCCCATGGGCAATGGGCTGAGGGCTGGGGGCTGAGGGGCTGCTCTAATTGGCTCCTCTGCCCTGAGTCTGGGGGGGTTCTCATTGCTG